AACACAGAGACCAGTGCCTCCTCTTTGACTCCCACCACCCTCTGGAACACAAACTTGGAGTAATCAGGACCCTACAACACAGGCAGAACATGTTCCCTCTAAGCCTGAAGGGAAAGGAAGCTCCTAAAACTCTACTGGAGACACCAAACAGCCACTTCATAAACACACAACATAGAAGAGCCACCTCGACGGGACCAGACTCAGATCAAAGGCCAATGTTCACATGTTGGACAGAGATGGTTTGAAGGAGGAGTGAAAGAAGCCATTGATGTCCACTGTGAATGACCATCCATGAAAAGAGGACGGGGCTTACAACACCAACTACTGTCTGCCAGCTATAACCAGTTTTGAGATCCTTCCCAGACGCCTTAATGCCCACTCACATGTTGCATCAGGTGATCTCAACGGGTCACATGATGGGGCGAGCATAATGGTCACAATGGTTTCATCCAAAACTCGTGATCAATAGTGGGTCCACGACCCTCTTAAGGGACGCCTCTCACTAGGGCTTACCTGGGACTCTCCAACATTTGGTTTTAGAACTGAAGAAGCGTTTCAGGTGAGAGGTGAAACGTCTTAACAATGACGTCCAGTCGCTTTCTTTCTAAGCTCCTCAGAATACCATGACCACGAGAACCTACACAGACAAACCAGGTGACCTCAGTAGCTCACATTAGGTGGGGCGTGTCTTACAGAGGTTTTCACCTTGGTGATAACAACAACTCACATGCATGACACTGGTTTCATGACATAAATAGCCACTTAAACACCTGGGACTGTCTGCCCCAGGTGTTTAGAAATGCAGAGGCCTCTTTGACGAGAAGCAAAATGTCTTCATGAACCAAAAGAAGTCCAGCTGGCTTCTCTCAGTCCTGAAACCACGGCTGAAACTTGGAGGAGACCGAGCTTTGGAATGATCTTCATCTACATCAGTGGTGTTTTTTTAAATCCAGGTTAAAAACTCATTTTCATTCGCTGGCCTTTGACTCAGTGGGTAACTGACACTGTTATTGTTATTATTACTGTTATTTATTTATCGTATTTATTATTGTTATTGTACCTCATATTTCTGTTGTGCAGCACTTTGGTCAGCCATGTATTGTTTTTTAAAGTGCTATACAAATAAACTATGGTACGGTTTTCAAGCACTCAGGACCAAACAACAGACTTTCAAACTGTGATAGTTTGAAAACTTAAAACTATAGAATAAAGTGTTGTGTATGGGTTTGTATGAATGGGTGAAAGAGGGTGTAAAAAGTGCTTTGAGTGCTCAGAGAGGAAAAGAGCTATCCAAGTACCAAGCAATGTACTATTTACCGTCCACTTACTGTTCTATCTAAAATAATGTGTCTCAATCTGTGGAAGGAATAGTAATGTTCATCTTTGTCTGTTTAGCTCGTGGTTAGCGGCAGATGATGGCTGTGAAGTGGACCTCATGCTCCAGGCCAGTCAGGTCCACATCACACATCTGGAGACTTAATGCAGTTTTGAAAAAGCAATACAAAGTCTTTATTTCAGTGGGCTCATCGTGCGCCTTCCTCATGTTAGCGAATAATAATCATCGTCTTTTTGCTGTAATCAAGCAGCTTTGTTTCTGGTCTGAACAACCTTTAAGACTGGAAATCAGGGCCTGACTTTCATTCCTACCTTCAAATGACGTTTAAACTGTGAGAGAAACAACTACTATCTGTGTATCAACAGCTGTCCACATGTGGGTCCACAAGCAAGTATAATCCCATGCGTCAGTATTTTCAAAGCTCCTCGGTGGCCCTTGAAAAAACCGCGTTGACCTGAGACGAACAATTGTTTGTCGGTGCATCTGCTAGCTCCTCCTACCCAATTTAGATAACAAGATCTGATCACAACGTAGGCAGAACGGAGGCAATTAGGACTCCCATTAAAACTAGGCTTTATATGCAATAGTCCCATAATCACATGTCAGCATCCAGATCAGCCAGGTACAATTCTCAGGTTAATAGCAGAATGAGGTGGGTCAGAAAGCAAGAACAAAAGATCTTTAAATAAAGGAGGGAGCAGGATGATACATCCACGTTTCATTTTATGTTTCTTTTCTTTCTCCTCTCTTCATCCATGTGAATCCTACAGATCTGACTCCTGTGACTCCTCCACACCCACACTGCAGAAACAACATCACTCTCTCTGTTCATTACCATAACCGTCCTCCATCAGTCTTCCCTCGTGGATCAATGGGATGGAACAGCAGTGATTACGGTTACGGCCTCCTCACAGTTCATCGCGTGAGCTCTGGCAACTGATATTACTTAATACTTAATGCACAGAAAATAAAACATCACCATCAGCCGAGATTGTCTTTCCATTAATTTGAGAACGCACAAGCGTGCATACTGTACTCCAGGGGTAAACCAAGCAGTTACAAAGTGCATGCCTTTTTCTTCAGATGCGGGCCCTGCCCAGATGTGAACAGATGTTTGGGGCCACCGTTTCATGCTGCACTAGAAGATGATGACTTCACAGAATCCTCAGCAATCTTTAATAAAAACCATTCAAGGTTCTCTCAAACTCTGTGCAGCTGACTATTTCTGTACTGCCAAATAGGCATTAGGTTTTCCAATCTGCCTCGTTAGCCCAACAAATGGGGTTTGCTGATGCTTCCTTTGCATAAAATACCAGAACAATTAGCTAATATGTCCCAGCAGAGGTACAGTTTAGCCCGACTCCTGACTTTTGCTCAACACGATAATATCGGGCTCTCAGCTCTGCAGAAGAACCACATAAACCAGGCTTGGGAACAAAAAACCAGCTGGTGATGCACTTGATCAATCAATGGTCTATTTCTCCAGTTGCCCAACTGTGATGTGCTGTGGTGAGGTTTATTTTTGTCTTAGTATGGCTGTGCAAAGCAACTGATAAATAACTGATGCAACTTACACTTCGGACTTTCTTGGATCTGTACGTTTCTGTTTATGTCGATGTGCAGGTGTTTGATCTTGGAGCAAGGACACATTGCGGATAGATTTGTTGGCAGGACCGTAAATGAAAATTGACTCCGACACGTAGAAAATCTCTCTGACAGAAGTTGCTGCATGCAGTCGGGCTCTCATCAGTTGAAACATTTCAACTGCTTCGTCATGTTGTGCAGTATTTACTGCTTCCTAGTGTGGCTCGTGTTTCTCTCCGCTTCAGCCCAAGGTGCTGCAGGATTAATCTGCGTGAGGGTGTTTTGCAGTTTGCTGCATCATGCCCTAAATGAAATCGCTCAGAAACCAGTGTAGGCAGCTCTGCAACATGCTGTCATGCCTCTGTGCCATAATCTACCCCAGTGTAGTGTGGGATTTATTGGATCGCACTCAGTCAGTCGAAGAGGCAGCGAGCAGCAGATTGTGCTGTGCGATTTCATAACGAATCAGCCTTATCTCCGCTGCTGTCAGACTTCATCATTGTTCTGCACATGTTACATCATTTGCAAGCTTGAGGTCGGCTTTTTCTCACAATATCGGCTGCACCTGAACGTCCCATGACTCAGGGCTCAGAAGGATTTTTTTCTTCCCTGCACTTTGATTAATCACACGAACCCATATCTGAGAGTCTGACTCACCCTCTATCAACCTCTGTGTGCAATGGCTGCACGTACGAGAGCTTATAAGACAAAGCTATAGTACTATAAAATCTTTCTCCGTGAGTCATCACTGCGTTTCCCCAGCCTCATATCTGCAGGTCTAACGGGAGCCTCGCTCCTGCAGCTGCTCTGTGCTTGCAGAGGGAAGAAGGCGATGCTCCATGTTCCTCTGAGCGAGGTGAAAACCATTCAACTGTTAGCCAGAGTGCTGTCCTTCAAACAGGTTTTCCACAGTTGCATAGCAACAGAGATCACCATGGCCAGCGCTTCCAATGCTTCCGCGTTACCAGCTACGAAGGAAGTGCCCGATGGACGCACGGGACAGCCGCAAGCCCGCATCCTGTTGCCTACAGCACCGGAGACGAAAGTCACAGACGGCAGCGAGAAGCCGTCATTCAACACTTCCTGATATGATGCGCGCAAGACAGTGTTGCCAGGCAACAAAGCCGATCCAAGCCAACGAAAAACAACTTCAGGGTGACAAAATTAAAACAAAATATGAGCACAAATCAAAAGAGGAAGCTACCATGGTGATCAGTACAGTACACAGTGTTTTCTTTCTGGCCTCTCAGCAAACAACCGCTCCTATTCCAAAAGTATCGGTTGCATAATGCTTTCGAGTCGTCGCTCCACCAATTATCAGTGTTTGAGATTTGTAGCTGTTTAGTTCATCTGTCCCCGGAGTCCCACACGCTCCCGCTTGTCTGCAATATATAAAATTTTCACTCCGCAGCTCTATTAGCTGATAAAAGGATGAATGTTTATCAGTCCGGTACACCCACCAATCACACTGTCTCACAAACCTCTCTGGTTTGGAGGAGGGAACGCTCGAGTGGCAAACTTCACCTCTCATACTTGTTTGAGTCCTTTAAAGTAAACCCTGTTCAGCTTGCTCGCATCGCTGCACCAGCGAGGAATCAAGCAAAACAGATGTTTCCTGGTCAGACTAAGCAAGAGCGCTTGCACAAAACCTGAGTGAGAGAAGCAGCAAAGTTAGTAGCGATCAAAGCCAAAGATTTACACGAGTTTTGGCAAAGCAGACAATGTAGTGACGGGCTTCAAGCCAAGGTTACGTTTGAAAATTTGGTGATAGGATGCCATATTATAAAAACATGTGCAATACGTGTTCTCTAGTAGTTAAAAGATTTTTACTGCAAGATTTGAAAGCATTTATTACACAAAGAAAAGGCAAAAGGTGATCTGTACAGACACAAAGAGATGTGCTGGGGGAGATGCACCCCCCTCAGGATAACTGTGGCAATATGGCATCCCTTATTTTTCCCCATGAAAGGAATCTCAAGAACTTCACTTTTCACCATTTTACCGTCAGCTCTTTGCCTGGTTTGCCATCTTCTCGTGCTACCTTTGGCCCTGCTTGTAGTAAAAATACAGTGGAACTTACAATTTGTGGTGGTGGAGGGTGTGGGCGTGATGGTTGTTGGCAGCGTTGGCTCTATGCAGGCGCTCCAGCCTTTCCTTCTCTTTCTCCACAAAGTTGGTGTTGGTGCCAGTGCTGGTGGAGGGCATGCGGGTCAGCCGGCTGTGGGCTCGCGGCTGATCCCTGGGTGGAATTGGAGGTGGGGGAGGAGCAGCCGGGGCTGAAGAGGAGATCGGAGCTGGAATTTGGGTCAGTACAGAGTGAGGTGTTGGGGCGCAGGTTGGAGAGGGAACTGGAATTGGAGTCGGAGCAGTGCTGTTGGTGCTATTATAGGAGTGGGAGTGGTGGGTGGAGGAGTGGTGGTGCACCTGATGATGCTGGTGGTGGAGGGGGATGGAGCAGGGAGGCTGTGCCGGAGCCTGGTGCTGGCTGTTGTGGTGATGGTGATTCTTTGTGGAAATGGAAGCCGACGTGGTCTGAGCCGGCGGCGGTGGTGGCGGAGGAGGAGGGAGAGGAGGCTCGGGAGGAGGCGCAGGGGGGGGAGGAACGACGGGCTGCCGGTCCAAACGGAGGTCCTTGTTCTCTTGGCTGAGCCGGTCCAGCTGAACCTCCAACTCCTCAATTCGGCGCCGCTGCGTTTCTAAAAGTTTCTGCTGGCTTTCGATGATGTTGTTGAGTTCAAGAAGATACTCCACAGCCCGGTTAGGGCTTTCTGGACTGCCCTGGCCTGGGCCCTGATTAGCATCCATGACTAATAGGTCTGAAAGGTAGCACTCAAGCTAATGGCTAGGGAACCTCAGGCTAGCTATGGAAATGCCCAGTGGACAACGGTCACTTTTAGCCTAAATGCTGTCACAGTTGTTTAGATCCAGGTAATACAATTCAAGGCAGCACTGAGTCTAAATGCTAAACTTCCACACCGAATGAAATGCTGCCTGAGTCACAGCTACTGCTAGTGCAGAGCCAAAGGCTAACTCAAAGAGTGGTGACACAAATAAGCCACAGGGCCGAGGATACAACTCCCTCAAACTGGCCGAACGCAAAGAAGAAGCTTAACACGACAAAGAAGAACTTGGACCGGATCTGAAGTTACACAGAGCAGAGTCGCCTAACTCCACAGCCTAAAGCCTACTGTGTGAAAAATAAATCCTAAACAAAACAAAAGTACCCTTCACCCTCCCCCCCACCAGAGGTAAGTGGGGGGGAGAGGACTTTTTCTTCTTCGAGTTCTGAATCAGAGATCAAGATGGACCTCGCCCTCGCGTGCTCCAAACACAGAGTTTTATTGAGCTGCCGACCATTCCCTGGTTCGGTCAGGTACTCCTGCCGGGGTTCAGACCCATGACAGTTAAAACCAGAACGAACGGGTTAGAGTGCGAGATTGCCTCGTCTCGCCCGACAGTCAGAACGGTCCGTTAAACTTCCTGTTTTTCAATGAATCAGTTGAATCCGGACTCTGCACTCCATACAGCACATCAGAACATCAGTTTCCCAGAAGCAGGTGTGGAAAGCACAGCTGACAGGGGACTTGCTTGCCCCTCTCTATTAAAGATATTGCATGTTATCATTGCTGACTCCAGTCTATTGAGATATTGTGAAACCAGTCATTTTTTCCACCAACGGTCCACTGGAGCCGTGAACTGTGAGTTGACTAAGCATCGGCTTCGCTGCAGAGTCTCATAATCCTGGGGTCAGAAGCCATGTGCTGATTTTCCAAATCTCACAGTCAGCAGATGGTTATGTTAGCTCAGTTCAGACACTCGCCATCATTAATATGACCTGGGACTGAGGTTGTAGAAATCAACGCAACTCAAAGCTCCGCAAATCAAAAAGTGTAACGTCAGTCGGAAATCATCTTCTAATGAGCATGGAAGAGCAGAGCTTCACCTCCTCCTGGTCCATGGACTCACCAGCAGGCCTCAGCCTGTCTTCCTGCAGTTGCTCTGTCACAGGAGGTGATAGGTAAAGGTCAAAGGTCATGTTAAATATTGGTGTTCTTCCCGAACGCTGCGAGACATTTCGGTTTCACCGCCATCACCATAATCCAGCTGGATGGCGCTTCTGGATCCTTCTTCCCGTCATCCAGCCGTTACATGTAAAAGAAGAAAAGAAGGGAAAAGACATAAGAAGCAGAGTCAGCAGGAAACACCAGCATTGATGCTCTCAGTCGTTTCTCGTCCTTCTTTCATCACCTGCTCTCTGGTCCGCCTTTCATCATTTCCTCTCTTCTCTCTTTTGCTTCCTCCTTTCACTGCTCTCTCCCTGATCTTTCTTTTCTCCATCTGTTGTCTTTTCAAATCTCCGGCCCTTCCTGCTCTCTGACAGAACAGTTGCAAAGAGTGTGAGGGCTCTCAGCCCATAAATACCAATGACATGCTCCGTCTCAGTCGTGACAGACACAAAAAATGATCACACACACCATCGGCCTCTGCTCCTACACTATCGCTCATCTGTCTTCATCCACCTCGTTCCTTTTCACTCAGATCTTCTGCTAACCTTCTACGTTGTTCTTTTTGTGCATCAGAGCAACATTTAAAACACACAAACACAACATGCTCGAACAGCACAAGCTTCCACAGTTTGGTTATAAGCAACACATTTCAGCAAGAAGCAGCCAATCACTAAGCTTAAAAGCTGAGAACAGCGTGTTGATAACAGTGGGAGGAAACAAAAGATAATGCTGCTGAGTAAACTGATATTACCATCTGCAGCGTATATCACTTCAGTCTTAATTTCAGGCTTTCAGGGGCCGCTTGAAACTGAAGGCTTACACAACAATACAAGTTTACAACAATACACAGTACTCGTCTTTTATGTCTCACAGCGTGTCATAAAACCAAAAGAGGTATCATAGCAGCTTTAAATGAGTGAAAATCATTAATAAAAATCCGATAAAAGGAAGTGGAAAGCTGTTCGTTAGACATGTGAATCTTGTTCGGTGGAGGCATCGTGTCCCTGCAGGGCTGTGGGAAAAATGACCAGCTGACTATATTTGTTTCTGATCCTTGGAAATTATTATTTATTGTGTGGGTGAAAATCACCTGACAGGACAAAAACTGCATTCCAATAACTCCAATTAAGAGCGATGGTGTCCAGCATGCAGCTCCTGGCTATAGCTACCTGCGATGATGTCCACCTGTCAGTTAAGGTGGACACACCCCTAATGATGGAAACGATTAGTTTCAAGGTAATTCAAAAAGGCGTGACATTAAAAAGGCCAGCGAGGTGCTGCTGCTTCACATTAAAAAGAAGTTCCACCTGTAGGTCTGTGAGTGAGGTGTCTTTGAGACAGTTGCTGTGACCACGGTCACTAACCAACTGGACTGTTTAGTGACACCAAACTGCTAAAAACACCCACTAATCAGCACAGAGAGGAAAACTGAAATGATCTGAATGCATTTGTGGGTAATGGCACTTTAAACACTTCATACTAGATTGATCTTGGGGTCACTGCTGTGCTTTAGAAGACATTTCAGCCATAAGGACTGCACCATCACAGCCAACGTCCTTGTTTGCATGGCTGTTTTGTGGATGTGTTCCCTGATCTACTGGCATCATGGAGCTTCTTACTCCAACCTTAAAAATGACCACTAACTGCATAATTCCCACCCAAACGCAGAGCTGATCCTAAACCAACCCTAAGCCAAGGCATTACCCTCACACAGCCTGAAGGCATGTGGGAACCAACAACGTCCACACTGACACACTGGTCCTCAGAAGAACAGCTCTACATGCTCACACACGAGCGCTCAGCCTTCTGGTCTCTATTGCAGCGCGGCCAAACAGTTTCAGTTTTTATATCCCTTCCCATTAAGCACATTCAATTATTCATGGCTCACTAACTGACCACCATCCCTCTCTCTCTCTCTCTGCACATCACTGCTTTATGTCTGCTCCACACAGAGCGTCTGTGTGTAACTGTTCACTCACACTGAATAGGTTTTAAGTTTGTTCCTGCCAGTTATCAGCGTTGATATGAAGCCGAACTTTGAGGACAAAAACTGACATTGTTTCTGTTGATGACAAAGGAATTAAAGAGGCGCGAGTTCATGATGAACACCTGAATCATTTCTTTACAAAGACGTTGATGGTGGAATTGCACTTTAACCCTTTCGTCTAAACTGTTAAAGCCTTCGGCACTGGCTGGACAAAGGCTGCATCAGAAGACTTTTCAAGCTTACTGAAAGATCAGATGGTATTACTCGTTTAATTAGCTAACATAGGATATCTGAAACGGCTAATTTCTTACTCTAACATATTAACAATCATCCTTAGTTAGCCCAGCAGATCCTTCTCTGAGTGTCCATCAGAGGTTATAAGATGAATAAATGCTTACAAACTAACAACAAAAAAGTAGAAGCAGTCTTCTTTTACACGGTGACTTCATTAACGGACCAATGATCAGATGTGCACAGCAGATCTGGTGTAAACAGTGTTGCATTTAGCAGATGAAGAACCAATCGTGTCCCTCGATGTAAACCAGCACAGGCCATCATTACTCACTTCAATCACAGTTTGCATCCATTTATTCCTCAGTCACACTGGAACAATGCGACCAGGAACAATCTGTGGATGCACAGTGATTGCGCTGAATGTCTTTATATTTGGTGACTGACAAAGTAGTCATGGTAACCAATTGGTTGAGTACAGGTTAACCATCTAATTTTATTTTATTTATATGGCACCAAATCACAACAACAGCAACCCCGAGGTGCCTTTTATTGTAAAGACCTGAAAATAACAGAACACCCCGGCCACCCGGCCTGTTGGTGAAGCCTGGGGGTCCATTTTAACAGGTGGGAAACAACCTCCAAACAATCAGACTGACTCACTCTCAGCCAATGAAAACAACTCATCAACAGGGGACTTCATTCAACTGGTCACCCACTGGCTGTATTCTGGTAATATATTCTGTATAAAAGAAAAGTTGCTCGTGGAACTTTGCAGTTAAACTGTTTTCCTGCAGCAACTACGTTGTCTATGATGTTCTAGCTGGACTCTGAATATAATATATTATGGAGAATTCCTGTACATGCAGGTGAGTGCCTTTCCATGTACTTGGCAACATTCCTTTGCTATCTGATTAGACCAGGGGTGGGCAACTCCAGGCCTCGAGGGCCGGTGTCCTGCAGGTTTTAGATGTGTCCTTGAACCAACACAGCTGATTTAAATGGATAAATTAGCTCCTCAACATGTCCTGCAGTTCTCCAGAGGCCTGGTAATGAACTAATCATGTGATTCAGGTGTGTTGACCCAAGGTAAGATCTAAAACCTGCAGGACACCAGCCCTCGAGGCCTGGAGTTGCCCACCCCTGGATTAGACTCTTATTGCTGTTTTTTGCCATCTTTATGCACCAAGTTGCTTGAAGCAAATGGCTGTAAATTGTCACAGACTGTCTCTTTCTTCAGAGTAACCATTTCAAATTCAGTAATTTTAGTTGTGCGGCGATCTCCAGCCACTCTTCTTTTTGAGTACCACTGTAACATTAACTAATTGCATCCCCACATTGTCTTTCTTGGCGCCGTTTGTATTGCATCCACAAATGCTGAACCCAAGTGGTCAAAACAATCACTTATTGCAGGCTTAAGTGAATTACAATGACTTTTTCAGATTTTATAAAAAAATCTGGGGATGCATTTTCTCCATTTGTCTGAGGTTTCCATTTGTCAAACCTCCTACATCAACTCAACCTTCACAGAAGCTTGAGAGATTTAGTGACTTCAAAAAACCAGCAGCGTGTCTCCAAACACAACACGCGGTGGATAGCTTCTCTTTGTTCTTTGTTTATTATAACGTCTGTTTTCTCTGCACAGGAGCCAAGCTAAAACATGAGCAGCACAAACATTAGAGGAGACCACATTACCTTTCCACATGTTTCCCACACTGCCCCACGTGGTGCTACACAGTTAAAACATCTAAACATGGGTTTGCAAACGTCTGGTAGACACAACAAGAGGGGTAATCCATCCTCGTGAAAGATGCTGCACTATAGACCTGGATACAGTTTGACCATATTAAAGCAGAAAGCTGCAGAGGTGGACTTTGGATATACTGGACAAAGGACGTTTCAGATAGAGCTGCCAGGCAGGAGGAAAAAGAGGATCACAGAGAAGATTCATGGATGTCGTGCAGAGAGTTGGTGTGACAGACGATGCTAGAGGATAGGATGAGTAGATGATCTGCTTTGGCAACCCCTAAAGGGAGAAGCTGAAAAAAGAAGAAGTCTGTGAAGGTTCTCAGTCATCCAGGTCATCGTAGTCTAAGGAGCTTGGAAAGAAAAGCATCTGGACTTCTTTAAGTTTCTTGAAGATGTTTCACCTCTCAGCTTCTTCAGTGTGTTGAAGAAGCTTCTCGGATGAGACACTTTCCTTTCCAAGCGCCTTACAATACCCAGATACAGTTTGTATTTTGAGTCTGGTGTAAGAGAGTGCACTAAGGTTTGTGTTACTTTTACTGTTGCAGCACTTGTTGCGTTTTAAACTGTGTTTTTCTGCAAATAACAAGGCCGGCTACGTGTCGTATGGGTGGTGCAGGCCTACTCATGACCAGCAGGAGGAGGATACACAGTTAGCACTGATGGTGGCACAATTACCATGATTGTAGCTCTCTGTGTTTCTGCAACTCAATTTAATGAAGTTTATATAGCGCTGGTTTACAAGATGCTTCACAATGTAAGTCAAGAACCGCGCACCATCACGACCTACGTGCTCGTTATAAATCTTTGCTGTAGAAGAATTTTTAACTATGGTTGACGAGAGTCTCAACAAGTGGAAACAACCTGTTTTATTGGTGGACGGTGAACTACATGAACATACAGAAATGTAATTCATTACATTTATTTCCATCACAGCGCTGCGGTGGGGCTGGGTGGTGTACACCTGGACAGGTTGCCAGCCTATAACAGCACCTGGTATTTCCAGGCAGCCCCTCATCCAAGAACTAACCCGGCCTGGCAGTGCGTCATCAGATGAAATCAGGGTGTTATGGTATCAGCTGCTCTGAATTTTATTTTTCCTGCCTTCACCATGGAGATCACAGGATTGGTTCAATTTGTTGGGTTTTCAGAAAGAAATCTCCAAATGTTCAAGACTGACATGGACGACATGTTTCTAGAAGTGAGGCTTTGCCTAAAGTAGGATCAGAAATAGACCTTTATTGTTATTGTACATGTACAACAGAATTATGGGAAGTAGATTCAGGCATTTTTTCAAATTTTAACTTTTAATGGTCTAATCTGGATCCATTCACGCCGGACATGGAGGAAATGCTCAGCCTTGGTGGAGGTACGGGAACCCAGACTGATCTCGTTAAACTACAGTTTCTAAAATCGCTGATGAATTTTAAGTATTTCCATAGATCTTGGTTTCATGGGGAAATGCTTAAGAAATAGCAGAAAAACAGTCATTTACTGTGTGACATAATCCTATTTCTGAGTTCTAAATCTTACACTGAAATCAATCTTCACTCTTTGCTCTGCATGTGCACACAATTCATCGGTGTGTGGGCGGCCTGAACCCTTTTTCCTCTATGATCTTTTACATAATTTCGATCTTATTTAACAGCAGCGGGACTATTTTAATTGGCCACTTTCAGTCATGTTATTTGCCACAAACACACAAGTTCTTACAACCCACACATTTCACATACAACAGCCTCATTCCACTTGCACGCGCACACACACGTGAAGCACATGCAAACATACACACGAACATGTGCAACATATGCACAGTTAAAAAACAGGCCACACACACACACAATAATGGTCTGTGTGGCCTATATAGTCGACAGCTACATGCACATGACACACATATGAGAGCGCACACTCACTGACACACACACACACACACACACGATGCAGCATCCAGAAAAAAACAAAAACAAAAAGGAGTCTCACAGGTTTCAGCGGCTCCTGCAGAGGTGATGGAGGGATGAAGGTGGAGGAGGAGGAGGGAGGATTATTGATCCAAGCTCATCCCTCTCTCCCCTCCTTCGCTGACGCTGCTGTCACCATCATCTCTCTCAGAAAAAAAAAAAAGAAGTGCTGCTGATGCTCCGAGGTTTCGCTCTCTTCTTTTTCCTCTTCACCAGATTACGATCACTTCAATCCCTCCTTCTGTTCTCGTTCTCCGTCTTCACGTATTCCTCGGCTCGCCTCGCTGCTGCAGGCCGGGTCCTCTCCTCTTCTTGCTGCCGAGTCAATCTCTTTCTAATTATCATTCCTCTGCGTCTGACAGCCGAGGGATCCGCTGCTGCGGCGCTGATGATCTCCCCTCTTCGTCCGCGTGAGCGTGTGAACAGATGAAGCTTTGGTTAATGTCACCGATGAAGTATTAGTTTCTTCTAATCCTCTGCTATGTTGCTGTAGAAAGAGGAGGAGGAAGGAGGGGGAGGTGTTGTGTCCAGAAAGGCTGCTTGGATGGATGGATGGATGGATGGATGGATGGATGGAGGGAGGAGGTAGAAACCGTAGAGAGGGAGAAAGGAGGGAGGAAGAGTATGTGTAGGTAGAAGAGAGGGAAAATGTGCACCGTCAAACAGCGACACATGCAGAAAACACATCAGCTGCAAGCGCTGGTTTACCGCACGACCAGAATCATTGCACCGATATCACAGAGGGTGTTAGAGGCTGAATGCAGCTCTGTAGTTCCTGCATATTTTAATAATACTGTGACAGTGCTGCGGTCCAAGGACCAAGTGCAATAAATCTATCCATCCTTGATAAGAATGCAAGAAATAAAAACTTAGCTGGTGGACCCAGGTGTGCTAAATTAACCTTTAGCATCTCATGCTCGACAGTTACATGTCAGAGTTCACATCTGCTCTTTTATATGGAATTTTCACCTATTTGTTCCTTTTGATGAATATTGTAGCCAAGAGCATGTTAAAGACTTGATCTGATAGTTAGCATCTTTTAGTTTCTACAATAAGTCTAAAATTTAGCATGTGGCTAAAACGCGAGCTAACCCTAACCCTACATGGTTTACTCATGACCTGTTGTTGGTTAATGGCCTTGTTTTAGATCTGGTGGTTATTTACTCACTGCAATAACAGGTCACTTTTAAAAATGTCTGATATTTAACAACAGGTGTTTCTCTTGTCGACTGTGCATGAAATCACTTGTAGAAATGCCTTAAACCTGCATTCTGCCAGCAGGGGGCGACTCCTCTGCTGCACTGAACACACCCAGTGAACACTTTCCTGATTAATATGGGCTACATCAGCAGTCCAACCTTTTTTGCGCCACGGACCGGTTTATGTCCGACAATATTTTCACGGACCCGCCTTTAAGGTGTCGCGGATAAATGCAACAAAATAAAACCAGTATCTGTACCGAAAAAAGGAGATTTATTCATGACACACGGCAAAAGACCCAGGGAAACCAAATTAACGATATAAAAAACACAATAAAAACCTTGAAAACCATAAATTTCACACCCGAGCCTCAACTCTTGCGGCCCGTTACCAAACGACTCATGGACTGGTACTGGTCCGTGGCCCGGGGGTTGGGGACCACATGGCTAAATCACTAGTTTGAGGCTGCTAATGGTGCTCCTATTAGCGTGAGAAGGGCAGATAGAGCAGCCCATTCTCATTGACAGCTCAGCTCAGTCTTCACAACAAGAATTCACTAACCATCGGGTAACGTCAGATGTGTTCATCATTCATATACAGTCTATGTTTGTCTCTGGTATTATGTGTAGTGAAGGAACCATAAACACTGTGCTGGAGATATTAATCAGTAACTTGTGCATTAATGTCAGAGTAATTTTTGCCTTTTAATCTTTTTTTTAAATTGTTCCTTTTCTAGAGTGGAATGATTGTAGAGCGTACAACTGTCGAGCATGGTGGTGGTAGTGTCAAGCTCCGGCTTTGCTGTCTGTGGTATTGGTGCATTACACAAAGTGGACAGAATGATGAAACTTGCACACAGTTAGGTGCTCCAACAGGACAATGATCCCAAACACACATCACAGCTGGATTTAAGAGTTCATTACCTCAAAATACAATTAATTTCAAACTTGAACCAAATTCATGCATTTTAAAGCCATTAAGGATGTTTGCTGTACAATCATCTGATCGGTGAAAGGAACAGTTCAGCAGAACAGTCACGCCTATGATGACAGTATGTAAATGTGTATCCGCTACTCCAGTAAATACCAGCTAACAATAACATACAAAAACACTTTCTCTTATTGGCTTATCTAAGTGTTACCACTAATCTGGCAGCAATGAAAAACAGCCCACAGACACAAATCTGAGTTAACAGTGAAAACTATTCAACTGTAGGAACATGGAAACAGATGTGATGTGATTACAGTGTTTCCCACCTTCTGGAGCTGCAGCACATATTTCACATTAGCCTCAAAACAGAACCTCATTCACAGTGCCTATGTCCATCCTTCATATACAGTCTATGGACTTTCCAGTCAGATTTGATCCTTCTTCATATTTGGTTCATGTGTCCTTGTGGTCTTTCATCTCTCATTACAGTCGACTTTTCCTCATTTTGGTCAGCAGCAGCCTCTGACCCCTCAGGCCTGCACCACGTTTCGGTTTTCACTAATCCTGCCTTACATAAATAAATGACAGAAGCGGCACATAACAGCTATGACATTAAATAATAACCTGAGATAAGAAGATTAGAGACACCATGGTTCTTTAGCTCGGTGGCTGCAGTTAAGCTGCGCTGGCACAGTTTGCGACATCTATAAAATCATATGTAATTTGAATAAAAGGCCCACACTTAATAGCGCAGGGTCAGTTCACACGCATCACAGTGAGGATTTCACTGGACTCGTGTACAGGCTGATTCAGGCCTGCAGGCTGCTGACATGATTC